ATATATATATATATATATATATATATATATATATATATATATATATATATATATATATATATATATATATATATATATATATATATATATATATATATATATATATATATATATATATATATATATATATATATATATATATATATATATATATATATATATATATATATATATATATATATATATATATATATATATATATATATATATATATATATATATATATATATATATATATATATATATATATATATATATATATATATATATATATATATATATATATATATATATATATATATATATATATATATATATATATATATATATATATATATATATATATATATATATATATATATATATATATATATATATATATATATATATATATATATATATTCAGTTTTTTTTAAGGACTAACAATGTCTGAAATGTTTTAAGGCAAATGTATCAATGTATCGAGTACAAATAGTTTAAGGTCAAATGATTCTATGTATTATTGTTGTGTACAATGTATGCATTTTCAAGATCTAAAACAGCTGTGTGAGTCTAAATGGAAAGAAATATCCTCACTCTCCTTAGGTTTAGTTTCTGATTTACCAGGGGTTGCCACAGCAGAATGAACTGGCAAATAACCTGGCATATGTTTTTTGCAGCAGATGCCCTGCCAGCAGCAACCCAGCACTAGGAATTAGGGTATACCGGTTAAATATCTGTTAAAATTAGGGTACATTGGGTAAAATATCTATTAAATATCAGTTAAAATTAGGGTATATTTGGTAAAATATTGGTAAAATATTGGTTAAAATTAGAGAATATCGGCCAAAATATTGGTTAAAATTATGATACATTGGGGGAAATATCTGTTAAATATCAGTGAAAATTAGGGTATCTTGGGTAAAATATTGGTAAAATATCGGTAAAAATTAGGGTATATAGAGTAAAATATTGGTTAAATAACGGTAAAAGTAGGGTATATTGGGTAAAATATTGGTTAAATATCAGTTAAAATTAGGGTGGATTGGGTAAAATATTGGTTAAATATCGGTTAAAATTAGGGTATATAGAATAAAATATTGGTTAATTATCTGTTTATATTAGGGTGTATTGTTTAAAATATTGGGTAAATAATGGTTAAATTTAGGATATATTGGGTAAAATATTGGTTAAATATCGGTCAAAATTAGGGTATATTGAGTTAAATATTGGTTAAATATCGGTTCAAATTAGGGTGTGTTAGGTAAAATATTGGTTAAATTTAGGGTATATTGGGTATAATATTGGTTAAATATCGGTTAAAATTAGGGTGTATTGTGTAAAATATTCTTTAAATATCGGTTAAATTTAGTATATATTGGGTAAAATATTGGTTAAATATCGGTTAAAATTAGGGTATATTGGGTAAAATATTGGTTAAATATCGGTTAAAATTAGGGTGTGTTGGGTAAAATATTGGTTAAATTTAGGGTATATTGGGTATAATATTGGTTAAATATCGGTTAAAATTAGGGTGTGTTGGGTAAAATATTGGTTAAATTTAGGATATATTGGGTAAAATATTGGTTAAATATCGGTTAAAATTAGGGTATATTGGGTAAAATATTGGTTAAATATCGGTTAAAATTAGGGTGTGTTGGGTAAAATATTGGTTAAATTTAGGGTATATTGGGTATAATATTGGTTAAATATCGGTTAAAATTAGGGTGTATTGTGTAAAATATTCTTTAAATATCGGTTAAATTTAGTATATATTGGGTAAAATATTGGTTAAATATCGGTTAAAATTAGGGTATATTGGCTAAAATATTGGTTAAATATCGATTAAAATTAGGGTATATTGTGTAAAATATTCTTTAAATATCGGTTAAATTTAGTATATATTGGGTAAAATATTGGTTAAATATCGGTTAAAATTAGGGTATATTGGCTAAAATATTGGGTAAATATAGATTAAAATCAAGGCATATTCAGTAAAATATTGGTTAAATATCAGTTAGTATAAGTCAATATAATAACATTTTAAAATTAAAATCTAAATGAGCTGTGTTTAATGAACAGATTGTACCCTGTGATGATTTCCTCTTAACGGAGATCTTCCTGCGACTCTTGTTTTCCTCTCCATCTGAATCACTGCTCTGTGAATAGGTGGCCTGAACAGAAGTGAGCACAGTGATAAAGTCTAATGTTTTGTACAGTATGTATTCTTCTTCTTTGGTCTGATTTCTACCTTAGTGTTGTCGTCCCGCAGGTTAAAGGTAAGCTCCAGGTTTGTAAGGAAATAATCAGCGAACTCGGGGTACATGTCCAGCACCTCCAGCAGCTCCTCTCTCTGGATGGTGTGCAGGTCGCAGTAACTGAGTGCTCGCACGTCTGCGTTTGACTTACCGGGCTTCGCATACAGGTGGATCATCTCTCCAAATATATCATTCTTACCTGCAGAACAAGAGGACACGCTCAGATGAACTCAAATAATGTTTGTTGTTAATTTCTAAAATATAACAGCATTCCCAATAATAATTTTAAATAGAGCACCTTAATTCACCCCCCAGAATACAGTATATAAGAGTCCATTTAGACCATGGATTGACTCCATAATTTACAATCTTAAAGTAGATGATGCATTGTCAATACCCCAGTCTGAAAGAGTGTGTTTGGGCAAATGAAATGCAAATGTCTGACGTGTCAGGGCAGCTGTGTTTTCTCTGTGTGCATGTGAAAGTATGTATCTGTGTGGGATTTCAGATGTTGGCTGTGTGTTTTTGAGCATGTCCAGTCAGTCGCGGTCAGCTGAGGCCAGATTCTGTGCTTGAGGATTATCAGATCACTCTCTCTGCTGAGATTATCAATCATGCCAGGTAGTGCACACTGTTCATTCCTTCTCCAATTCCCTTCTAAACAACCTTTTTTTATTTTGTACATTCTTTGCAAAGATCAGAATACAAGTTTTGAATTGCTATTTGACTTAAAGAAACACTCAACTGTTTTATTTTATTTTATTTTTGTTTTTTAAATAAACTAATTTTACAGCTTCCCTAGAGTTAAACGGTTGAGTATTACCATATTTGAATCCATTCAGCTAATCCTTGGGTCTGGTGGAGTACTTTTAGCTTAGCTTAGCACTATGGAACCAGATCAGTCTCAAAAATTAAAACATTTTACAATTCACATTTACACAATTCAGAAATGTGCAAATCAAATTCATAAATTTAAAACACACTTCATTAATGCGCAAATCCAATTGTTAATTCAAAACATCCTTCATGAACATGCAAATCCAATTCGAAAATCAAAACACAATTTGTAAATTTAGAAACACGATTTATAAATGCACAAATCCAATTTATTAATTTAAAACACAATTCATGACTGCTTAAATCCAATTCATAAATTTAAAATGCAATTTGTAAATTTAAAACACGATTCATAAATGTGCAAATCAAACTAGTAATTCAAAACATCCTTCATAAACAAGCAAATCCAGTTCATAAATTCATTTCATGAATTCATTTTCTTTTCGGCTTAGTCCCTTTATTAATCTGCGGTCGCCACCGCTGAATGAACCACCAACTTATCCAGCAAGTTTTTAAGCAGCGGATGCCCTTTCAGCTGCAACCCATCTCTAGGAAACATCCACACACACTCATACACTATGGACAATTTTAGCATACCCAATTCTCCTGTACCGCATGTCTTTAGACAGGGGGGAAACTGGAGCACTGGGAGGAAACCCACGCGAACGCAGGGAGAACATGCAAACTCCACACAGAAACACCAACTGACCCAGCCTAGGCTTGAACCAGCGACCTTCTTGGTGTGAGGCGACAGCACTATCTACTGCACCACTGCTCCTCCGATTCGTAAATTCAAAACACAATGCGTAAATTTAAAACACAATTCATAAATGTGCAAATCCAACTCGTAAATTCGTAACACAATTTCTAAATGTGCAAATCAAATTAGTAGTTTAAAACATCCTTCATAAACAAGCAAATCCAATTTATAAATTGAAAACACAATTTATGACTGCGCAAATCCAATTTATAAATTCAAAGCACAATTTCTAAATGCGCAAATCCAACTAGTAATTCAAAGCATCCTACACAAACAAGCAAATCCAATTCGTAAATTCAAAACACCATTCATAAACGAGCAAATCTAATTCATTAATTTAAACTGCAATTTGTAAATTTAAAACAGGAATCATAAATATGCAAATCCAATTCATAAATTCTAAATGCAATTTGTAAATGCGCAAATCCAATGAGTAATTTAAAACGTCCTTTATAAACGCGTTAATCCAATTCATAAATTCAAAACACATATTAATTGTGCAAATCAAATTAGTAATTCAAAATATCCTTCAAAACACACAAATCCAATTTAAGTCCAATTTGTAAAGTCAAAACACAATTCATGAATGTCTAAATCCAATTCGTTAATTTAAAACACCATTCATAAACGCACAAATCCAATTCTTAAATTCAAAACACCATTCATAAACGCACAAATCCAATTCTTAAATTCAAAACACCATTCATAAACGCACAAATCTAATTCGTAAATTCTAAACACTATTCATTAATGCGCAAATTTAATTAATAAATGCACAAATTCAAGTAATAAATTCAAAACACAATTCATAAACACGCGAATCCAATTTGTAAATTCAAAACGCAATTCACAAATGCTCAAATCCCATTCTGAAATTCAATACATCTTTCATAAACATGCAAATCCAATTCGTAACTTCAAAACTAATTCGTAAATTCGAAACAATTCATAAATGCACGATTCCAATTTGTAAATTCAAAACACAAATTGTAAATTAAGAAGTAAAAGTTACAAATATTTTTAGAGGGGTCTGGCTGCAGACTCAGTACAGATGCATTCTGAGCTGCATATAATTCTTTTGAATGTGCTCACCTAACCCCACCCCTACCCCTATCCCTCACAGTGGCGTCACTACTGTAGCTCCATTGAGTGCAATGTGTCTGATATTGCATCTCTGAGCTATGCAATTTCAGCTTGCATCATAAAGGCTGCATCCAGATACTACTGAATATTGATTAACTGTGTTTTGAATTTACGAACTGGATTTTAGAGAGTTTTATTTCTGACATGTATTATTTTTGAGACTGATCTGGCTCCATATAGCACAGATCATTGAATCAGATTAGACCATTAGCATCTTGCAGGAAAATAATTTTGATAATTTTCCTATTTTAAGGTCGGCTCTTCTGTATACTAAGACCAATGGAAAATGAAACGTTATTTTCTAGGCTGATATGACTATATGATACGGCTGACTATGATATGGCTGAATGACAGAAGAGTCCAACTTTAAATAGTAAAATTGGCACAGATTTGGCCATTAACGAGATGCTAACGGTCTAATCCAATTCAATGATTTATGCTAAGATAACCTAAAAGTACTCTCGTCAGACCTGGAGATTAGCTGAATGAATTAAAAAAGAAAGCGGACACTATTGTAGACACATTAGCTGTTATGCAGGCATCTAAAGCAGAATGCACAGAAATGCACAGCGGACAGTTCAACTTGAATGAGGTCAAGTTTAATTGCAATATTGCCTGAATCTGAATGGCAGAGATGCAGATGGTCGTGTTTAGCACGCTATACTAGTTTTGCTCTAATCCTACTCCGAGCTGAACTGTACAAGAGAAAGTAGATCAGGGGTTCTCGATGTCTACATTAAAAGGTCCAAATCTGAATTTTTATTATGGTCAAAGGTCCGGAACAATTGAAATTACATAACTTGTTTTTAATGGTCCCACTTTATATTGTGGCCTTAACTAATATGTACTTACACAGGAATTAATAGTTTGTTACAATGTACTTATTGTGTAAATACATGTATTTATTGAGTACTTATGCTTGATTAAATACATGTATGTAATTACATCTGTAATTACATCTGTAATTACATTTGTAAATACACTGCTGACCATTCCCTATACATTAACTCAGCCTTAAACCTACCCACACCCCCAAACTTGTCTATAACCCAACCCCTATCCCAACTCAAGAGCACCACGTGTTCTCAAATACATTAGGAACACAGTAAGTACATTGTATTTATTTTTTGATTCAAGTGCACAGTAGTTAAGGACACTTAATATAAAGTGGGACCTTTTTAATAAACATCCATAACATGCATGATAAGTCAACACTATTTTATTTATTCTTTAAATAAAGTGGCATTTGCATTCAAAACACATTAAATACAATGCAAATAATAATAACATCATTATATAATATATATTAATTACATTATTATATATTATTTATATAATAATATAAATATAATTGTTTATATGATTAGATTTGATTAGACCTATCCAGTTTCATCTGGAATGCATCCCAGATCACCGTCTGAAGAGGTTTGAGCAATCAGATTTACATCCAATCAGAATCAAACGAATGAAGTGACTAAACAGCCTCAAAAACACAGACATGATGGGATTAGCGCCTTTTGCTGTGAAGTCACATCTGACAGTTGAGGACTCCGCTTGCCACTAAAGCCTTCGTCGGACAGTTATTTAAAAAAAAAAAAAAAAAGTAAAAAATAGGGAAAGGGAGGTCATGTACTGGACAAGTCAATAAATATACAGGACGTCTCGACTAATGCGGCCAGTTAGCCTATAGAACCTCATGTCTTTTTGAACAAATCTTAAATACTTTGCGATAATGACGCCACTGCCTGCCTTTTCTGCCTTCTTGTTCTTTTCGACCCACAGAGTTACTCAGTATGGATGTCGCATCAAAGATTCAAAAGTTACCAGTCAGTGGGTTATGTCACGTGACTCGTGTCACATTATTGTGGCTTAGAGGCTCTATGGGATTTTAATTTCGATCCAGAGTTATTTAAAATGACACTTTATTACAATTTATATTGAATATAAATATATTTGATTAATTGTATAATAAGAAGGTCGCTGGTTCGAGCCTCGGCTGGGTCAGTTGGCATTTCTGCGTGGAGTTTGCATGTTCTCCCTGCGTTCGCGTGGGTTTCCTCCGGGTGCTTTGGTTTCCCCCACAGCCCAAAGACATGCGGTACAGGTGAATTGGGTATGCTATAATTGGAGGGTTTGTCCTGAAAGGAAGAGGAATGCGCTGACTTTGACAGCTCGCGACGTCATCTGGCACTTCATTTACATGGACACCAATAGGGTATATGCCGAGCTAGTGCTGTTCCCATCCTGATACACTTCCGGTGATCTGTTATTGTGAACTTTTTTCCATTTTATACGGTTCCTTATACAGCATCGATGTTGTAATGTCATTAAAATACATTCAGTTAAATAAACTTTAGCAATTATTTAGTTGCTCAAGCGTAAGATGAGACAAAAAGCTGTTTACTCGCACGCGCCCTTCAGAATCGGCAGACTAACGCAGAAGCTCCATTGAATATACT